TTTTTTTCTTTATTCTCTATTTTTATCCATCTACACTAATCCTACTCAGCTTATCCACTTTTGTCGGATTTAGATGATTCCCTGATTTTAGAGGCCCATTGTTTTACTAATCTTGTTGTTTATTTATCTTTCTTGAAGAAAATCATTTATCTACTATTGAAGGTTTTATTAATGGAAAATGCTATACAAGTACAGAATAAATGTACATAGAGATGTACATAACACTCACATGGAGTGAGATCCATTTGATTTTTTTATTTTTGGTGGTCTCACTCAATATGAGGATTATATACACTTCTATGTAAAATATTATGTACTTATAGCAGTGCTCTTTATTAATTCCAAAAATTAGATCTTGATTGTGCATTTGGGTAGGGTTAGACATGGCCATAACCCAAGCCGCCGAGCTAAAAAACACTGACCCGGATTCGGCACGGACCTATACTCGTGCCGGGTCAATGGCCCGGTTGATCGGTCTGGGTCCGTCATTTAAAAAAAAAACAATAGAAAACAAATTCAGAAAAAGCGGGCCATCGACCTAGGCAAGAAATTGATGACCCTGAAACGGCACGTCTGAAACTCAGTCCGGTCCTGGACCCGTGGTCAACGGGTTTGACCGGGCCGAGTGGCCCTTGGCTATGTCTGGGTAGGGTAGCTCGTGAATTCGGCCCTTGGCCATGTCTGGATAGGGTAGCTCGTGAAGGTGTGTGGTTCTAAAACAAAATGTGATAAACTCAGTACTGAAATATGTTACTTTTCGAGTGAGTACGAACTATAAATAAACCATTCGAGTAAATGGGGTCTCTTAAAACTCGAGGCCAGTCAATTAATAATTTTATTTTGTCATAAATGTCCAAAGATGTGCATTTAATTATGATTTCTAAAGACTTTAGTGTATTCAATTTATATCTGTTAAGACTTTTTAAAACTTTTAAAAGTATTGGGATATTCGATTGAGATTTTTAAAAGTCTTATAAAATCCTGAACTATTTAACTTATTGAGACCAGGATTTGTTAAGACTTTAAGATTTGATGAGATTTATAAACGAAACACCTTATACTTTTTCTCACTTCAAATCTCACCTCCAGATTTTAAGATTTTACAGAATTCCTCCAATATCTAAAATCTTAAAAAATCTCAAAATATCACTTTGAAATCTCAATTGCATATAACATTAGCATTGTTGCATATGTAGATACAAAGGGCCTTGCTCATCATCCTCTCAATTAAGAACAAGTTTT